AAAAAAAAAAAAAAAAAGAGAGAGAGAGAAGAAGTATCCTATGACCTGAAAGAAGGAATGGCTTTTCCTGCCAAAGCCAGTCCCTATCATCCCACCATTGAGCCAGGAATGCTCTTTGCAAGGCAGCTTTCTGCTTCACCGCTTCACTGGCGTTTGCATGTTCTAGTACTCTGCTCACACTGCCACCTTGTCTTTTCAGGGAAAGTCACGAAAACCAACTGTTTACAGAAACATACAAGGTAATTCTTCTTGCATGAATGATTGTTGTAATGATAGTACAGGCTGTTACAAATGATTAGATACTACTCAGTGATTTAATGACTTGTGCTGTGTTCTGATTAAACACAAGGTCAGAGACGTGTGGCATTAGAGGTGAAAAAGATGTGGAGATGTAGTACGGATTAACCGCTCTCTCTTTCTGTTATACTGTGTCATGTTTGTCCAGGATGCAAGTACAAAGGCATGTTGCATTAATAGAAGTATGGCATGGAAAAAAAAAAAAAAAAGAAGGAAGGTGATATGTCACTCTATTCTGTGCTTCAGATTGTTCGATTCTGGGTGACTCACTTTAAAAGAACATTGTTAAATTGGAGTTCACTGAGGAGAGAGCTGGCAGTATGGAGAATGAAACAACTTGCAGAATGTCATTCCTGTGATTTGTTTCCTTTGCTCATTTAGACCTTTGGAGTATTTTTTGTTCTTGTTTTCAAATAGTGTTTGAAAAGTCTCTGAAAAGGGGTTGGGATATCTATCTTGTTCTACACATATTTGGAAAAAAAATGTTTTTTGTACAAACTGTTGATGAATGCTTTCCCTTCACTTAATTATTGCAACAACATATTTATTAACAAATAAATATTAACAAGTAGGGAAACTGAGGCCCAGTGGGGTGACTCTCTGAGATCATGTTTGAAAATCCTTCAAGTAAACAAATGTATTTAGATAATTATTTTATGTTCTGTTACTTTAGAAACTTTTAATTCTATTATAATAGAGTAATAAAAGCCCTTTATCTGCCATGGCCTGAGTTTTCCATCTGTAAAATAAGGGGCTAAATGGACTACAAACCCTTTTAGCACTAACAGCCTTTTGTTGGTTGTTTTGTAATTCAGCAGCATCTCCCCCCCACCCCCAGTCTTGATGTTTCTGATTACAGTCAGTCTCTCTTTTCTCTTTACAGGCTGGACAGTGTTGAAGAAAGTAAAAATGTCATCAATGACATACAACTTGACAGGGAAGATGAAGAGGGCATGTTCACACTCTAACATGCTACTTTTTCTTAGGATTGGGGCAGGGGGATGATGTATGAAATGTCATAATAAGTCTCAGGATGTATTACTGTATTATTGTTCCTTTAAAGGCCACACCTATTCTAATGATTCCATTGATTGTGTCTTGCTTAGTTTCAAAAGTGAATACTTTAAAGACCACACCTTCTTCCCTTCCCTGTACTTTAATCTCTTTTGTAGTGTCACTGCTAAGTGATCTTCCACACTACACTTGAACACTTTCAGTGATGGTGAATTTACTATCACACCCAATGGAATCCGTTCAATCTCAGGGCAGTTCTGAGACTTAGAAACACTTAAAACAAAATCTGTCTCCAGATACCATCTGTTTAATGGTCCTAATTGAACCCATTGTGCATACAGAGAACTTGTCTAATCTCTCTTCTGTCTGGTATTGGAAGGAAAATCTCATGTTTCTCCAGATTTCTTGATTCTGGGACATGATTTCTGGTCCCTTCATTACCCTAGTTGCCTTTTCGTTAATGTTTTTTTTCTCTCTTCTTATGTGCTCAGCTTTCAGAATTCAAGTCCCATTCTGGGTGGGATATGAGAAGTCCAGGGTCTGTGCTGCTTCACTCATGGTACAGAAAGTAATGTGGAGTTACAGCCCAATTTTGACTTACATATAAAACTCCTAAATTTGTTTTTTAACATTTTCGGTTCACATTTACTATCTTTAAACCAAAAAAAGAAAAAAAAAAAAAAAAAAAACCCACCAAACTCACTACCATCAAGTCGGTTCCGACTCATAGCAATCCCTTCTTGGGTTTCCAAGGTGGTATCTCTACAGACAACAACAACAACAACAATCTCTACAGAAGTTGCTTGAACAATTTCTCTTAGAAAGATCAGCACGAGGCCATTTCCCATGAGGTGGAGGTTAAAGATGTCCCAAATGTCCAAACTACCGTGCCACTCCATCATTTCAGACATTAACTCCTCCTCCTCCTCCTAGTAATCTCCCTTGTTTTAGGGTTCTGCATTTTGCTATAATGCCTCACAGAACTCACAGATACCCAAGGGATCATCTCACATAACAGTGGTGGAAGCTGGTAGGCTGGCAAATCCTGAGTCTGTGAGTGGGTCTGGAGGCTCCTCCCAATTCTCGGGGTTTGATGAACCCCAATCAGCAGAACAGATGACAGCTGCTGTCCCAAATCCAGGGGTAAGAGGAGGATGAACCCAAACACAGAACCAGAGAAAGAGGAGAGCAAACCTTCCCAGGAATTTCATAGGTATACCCTCAAGGAAGCTAAGGGTGGTGATTTGAGTTATACCCTCTAGCAAGGCAGGACTCAAGATATATCCCACCTGTGCTGCTCCAACAGCAATAACCCACTTGAATGGCTTTAACATTCAGCAGCTACTCAGTGGCTCAAGGCAAATCCCACCACAGAGCCGATTGCCAGTCATTATAGGGAATGACTACTATCAGCTGCTCAGCCAAGTTGACACCCGACCTTAGCTACCACATTACCCCAAACAGGCATGGATAATAGGATTTACAATATATCACAGAATGGAGGACAATGGCTAGAAGGGCCACATCAAGCAATTCACTGCAAAAGTAGATTGCCCAGTCTTCCTTCTGAGGAATGACTGCTGGGTTTGAACTGCCAGCCTTCTGGTTAGAAGGCAAAAGCCTTAGGTACTATACCACCAGAGCTAGAGGTGATCATACTGTCAAATCATAATTATTTTTTAAAATATATTTTTGTTGTGGTAAATATATACGAAGCAAAATGTTTAAAATTTCAACAATCTTTATATGTGAAGTTTTGTGACATTATGTTTTTCACATTGTTCAACCCTTACCCTATCCAGTCCCAAATTATATCATCACCCTTAAAAGAATCTCAGTGCTCACTAAGCACTGAATCCCTCTTTTCAAATCTTAATTTTCACTTAAAGGAATTAAAATTTTTAAGTTTACTTAAAAAAAGTATTTTATTTTATTGTTGTTGGTGAAAATATACACACCAGAACATATACCAATTCAATAATTTCTGCATGTACAATTCACTCACATTGATTATGTTCTTCAAGTTGTACAATTCTCACCTCCTTTTCCTAGTTTTCCTCATAAGCTTCCTATCTAAACTTTTGAGTTGCTGTTGTCTGTTTGATCTTCTTGTTGTTATGTGCCACAGAGTCAGACCTGACTCATAGTGACCCCTCCTTGGGTTTCCGAGGCGGTATCACTACAGAAATAGATTGCCCAACCTTCCTTCTGAGGAGTGGCTGGTGGGTTTGAACCTCCAACCTTCTGCTTAGCAGTCAATTACCTTACACACTACGCTACCAGAGCTCCTTATTTGATCTTAAAGAATTTAATTTTTGAAAACAGTCAAGAGACGTTTGGAGCACAATGTGGTGAATGACAATGATGTTCGTCAAGGGCAGTGCACGTGCGTGAGAGTAATGCAATCCAAATAAATGTTTTTGAATGTTACACATAGAAATTTTCTTCTCCATAGAAAAAGCTTGCTCAAAAACAGTAACAATAATACCTACTAGCATGAGGGACCCCAGAAGAGAAATTAAAGCAAAACAGTTGTTGAATGAACAAATGAATGAATACAAAGAACGTGTACCTGAGTGAGAGAGGCCTCTGGCTGGACAGATATGTGGAAAATAAATCAGATCTGACAGAAAGCTCCCTGAAATACTCCCAACAAGTTTAGGGCAATAGCAGCACTTAATGAAATAAGCATACAATCTTCCAAGGTAACCATCTGTTGGATTTCTACTCTTTTTTATGTTACTTTTTAAAACAATCACTCTCATTACTGGTACATGAGGTAGATTTCTTGCACTGTTATTCGTAGTGATCCAACAGTTACTAAATCCTCCTCTCACCTAAGCACTTGGCAAACCAGTGGCCAGAGAAGCCTGCTTTCTAGATCATTCTGTCACTGGTGAGTGCAGTGGTTGGCTTGCCAAGTTATGAAAACAACATGAATCATTTCTTTTTTTGACTTGATATGTTCCTCTTATGCTAGCCTAAAGGAGCTCTGGTGGCATAGTGCATAAGGTTTTTGACTGCTAACCAGAAAGTTGGCAGTTCAAACCCACCAGCTACTCTGTGGAAGGAAGACTGGGCAATTTACTTCCATAAAGATGTACCACTTTAGAAACCCAAAAGAGGGTCGCTATGAGCCAGAATTGACTCAATGGCAGTGAGTTAGGTTTGGTATGCTAACATACCAAAATAACTAAAACATTGCCATCAATCAATTCCAATTCGTAACAACCCTATGGGACAAAGAACTGACCCATAGGGTTTCCAAAGCTGTAATCTTTACATAAGCAGACTGCCACATATTTTCCTGTGGAGCAGCTGGCTTTGAACTGTTGACATTTCAGTTTGCAGCTGAGCACTTCAATCATTGTGCCACCAGAACTCCTTTATAGATATTGGAAATGACATTGATTACTACACTACATTCAAATATTTCTTTAGAAACTGGTGAAAAGGGTCTAGGGACAGTCAGGGCCTCAATTTCCTCATCTGCAAAATAAAATAAGACTAGATGATCTTGTATATATTGTAAAATTCTAATATTTTGTAAGGCAATGATACACCCTGTATTAGTTTTATATGATGGATGTACAAATACCACAAAGATTAAAACAACAGAGATTTATTTCTTGCAGTTCTGGAGGCTAGGAGTTCAAATTCAGGACATGAGCAGATCCATTCTCTGTCTGAAGGCTCTAGGGAAAGAGCTTTCCTTGTTTCTTACAGCTTCTGGTAACCCCATCATTCCTCTGCCTATGTTGTGACATGGCATCTTCCCTCTGCATTTCTGCCTCTATGTGTCTCTTTTCCTCTTTTTATAAAGACACCAGTTCTATTGTGTTAGTATTCCAATATGACCTCATCTTAAATGAACTAATTACATCTGTAAAGCTGTGATTCCCAAATAAGTTCCATTCACAAGTACTAGAGATGAGGACTTCAACATATCTTTTTGAGGACACAAATCAACTCCATCCTAACTTAGCTTATGCTCCTGTCCATTGTCCAAAAAAATATGATCATCAGTGCCACCAACAACTTGAGTCTAATCAGAAAAAGAAGAAATCAAATACCTCCAAAACTGAACATTTAGCTCAACAGTTATCTATTTTGCAAAGAGCCATCTTCAAACATTACCCAAGTATATTTCTGAAACTCCTTGATCAGACTAAGAAATATTTAAAAGAGCAATCATAATATTTTACAGGTGGTAAGCCATGAGTTGGAATCAATTTGATAGCAACAGGTAATAGTCTCAAAGAGCCTCTTGCCTAGTAGTTTTCAACCTTAGGTCAACACTGTAATCCACTGGGAAGTTTTTTTAAACAATACCAACTCCTGAGTCCTACCCTTTAAGAGGTTCTTTTATAACTGGTTGGGGATGTGGCCTGGGCATATGAAATTTTAAAATTCCCCCATGTGGTTCCAATGTGCCTCCAGGGTTGAGAATCACTGCTCTAGCCCACTGGTTCTCCAAGTGTGGTCCCTAGACCAGCAGGACACCTGGAACTTGTTGTTGTTAGGTGCCATTGAATTCGTTTTAATTTCTAGCTTCCCTATGCACAACAGAATGAAACAAAGCTCACTCCTGCATTATGCTCACAATCATTGTTAGAAATATAAATTCTTGTTTTCATCCCACACCTACTGAGTCATGAACTTTGAGGGTGGAGCCCTGCATGTTAACAGGCCCTCCAGGTGACTCTGATACACATTAGAGTTTGAGAAGTATGGTAGCATAATGATCCATAACAGGAAGACTGAGATTTCAAGACAAGGTTCTCCCTTACCCAGGGCTCTGTGATGGTGGACTTGGCCACACACAGGGTTAGGAGTTTCCAGTAGTAACAACAGCAGACAAAGGTCCAAATGAAGGTCAGTGTCAGAGATCTCCTTTAATCTAGCATTACTTTCTGCTGGGACTCTTATAGTAGCTTCCTACCTCTAATTATCA